TTTCTTCATGATTAAAAATAAAACAAGGATTCTCACTCTTGCTGCTACACTTTAATGCAATATTAGAGATCATGGCCAATGCTGTAAGAGAAGAAAAGGGAAACAGGTGTGAGTAAAGGAAGGAGAAAGATAAAACCATCATTATTTATAGATGATATGTTCCTCTACCCTAAGGACCAACAGAAGCAATGAGTATTTAGAAGGCATAAGGGAATTCAGCAAGGATACCAGATATAATATAAATCTACAAAACTTAATGGCATTTCTCCATACCATCAATAATAGAAATACAGAAATATAGAAATATAGAAATATTATAGAAATTATAGAAATAGAATTTCTTTTCTTTTTTTTTTTTTTTGGAGCTCCAGCCTCCTTGGTTGCTTGGCCCAGCTGTTGCCGGGTCAACTCCAGGGCTGCTTCTAGCTGTTCCTGCACAAAGAAGGAAGGTGGTTACACTTTGGGAGGCACATGCAAGCCCCAGGAAGAGACAAAAGGTGTCCTCCCATATCCTTGACATCCAGTTGGCATCCTGCCTTCCACAGTCAGGCAGGGCTAAGGGCAGGCAAAGAAGCCAGGTGCCCCTTCCCTGCCCTGGAGTACCTTCTCTTCCTGCCTCCGGTCTATCTCCTCCTGCAGCCTTCTCAGGAGCCGGTCCTGCCCACACAACTTGGTCAACAGAGTCTAGAGAAATTAGAGTAATAGCTATTTATGGACCAGATCTAGCTCTTTTCCTGCCCTAGAGAATGATTCTAGAACATTTTATCTCTGTGAACTCATCAGGGATGGGATCAATGAGAACTTACATCTGTCTCCAAGTTTTGGTGGAAGGTTGACTCCCGGGGAGGACCTGGCTGAGGAGAAAAGACAATATGAACCTGTCTGTCCCCATCCCCTGTTATAACTCAGAGTTGAGCCAAGCCTTGTTTCTACTGATAGGCACCATTATGTTAGCTTTTTCTAAGCTTTGGCAAACCTCAGTAGACCAGTTGCTAGATTCTTGGCTTCAGAAACACTG